GCCCCAGAATTTAAATTCCCAAATTAAATGGCAATCGGAACCGGTCCCAGGTTTCCAATTTTTGATGGGACGGTCAAGGATTAAAAGACGAAAGGGGTATAAATACCCCCCACCCCACACCCTGACCAAAAAAAACCCCTAGCCGCCCAGTGCTCGCCCGGAGAAGAAAGAACCCAGTCGCCGAAGGAGCTGGCCGCCGCCACCCGCCACCGCATCGGGGAAATTTCCGACTGCCGATCGAGGTAATTTTTCTCCCCCTTGCTCGTTTTTCGACGCTGAGTCCACCTATGGCCAAACCGGAGCCAAACCACTGGCCAAACGGCCGAAAAACTCAACCGAAACCCAGCGGCGCCACCGCGCCCCTCCTCGATTTTTGCCTCCGATGAGGCCCTTCCCGGCCTCCGTTCGATGCAAATTTTATACCACTGTGATCACCGTTATTTTCTCTACAGGTTGATCTGAGCCAAATCACCAAAACACGATTCACGCCGGAGAGCCACCACACCCGAGAGCACCGCTGGAATTGCGATATTTGCCGAAAGGGGCCCTAGGTCTAATTTGGGATTTTTTTTAGGACACGTACAGGTACTAGTAATTCAGGAAAAATTAGGGACAGCCTGTAGGCGCACTGTAGAGCTGTATTCAGACCCCGAAACAAGTAAGCACCCCTCACCCTATTTCCTATCACAGTATTAAAGTTCAATAAATGATAAAACGGTATTTCATGAATCAATAGATGTGTGAAATTGTTTAAGGTCGCTAACGGAGCCCGAGTCTGGTGTATTTGTCGGTCAGTCGTTGTTTGTTCTATTTCACAGTTCTAAATGCAATATGATGTCTGGTGTTTTCATTTTATAGTTTCGTGTGCATATATCACTGTTTTATTGATTATGGCTTGAATGACTGAGAACCCGATGTTGTGTGTTGCCTTGTTTGGCATAAAGTACTGGTTTGCATGTTTGTGTGTGATTTGATGATGGTGACTGAGGAAAAAAGAATAAAATGTTACGTGCATTGATAAATGGATAATGTGGACAGCCTGACTAGATATCCTGGGAGATGGTGGACGGACCGGGTCCGTAGGGAACCCTACTGGGAACGTGGTCTCTCATACCGGACGGGGTATGGAGACCTTCGGTGTTTTGGCGCCCATACCAGACGGGGTATGGGGATGACTCTGGAATCAGGTTATAAATGTTAAGGGTTCACGGGTAGCGGGACCCCTATGGATCCCCATGGATACTAGTAGGCTGGTAAATGAGGAAAATATATTGTGTAATGATTGAAATGCAAAGGCGTGATAAGTATTAGGTTATACAGTTCATATGATTTCATAATGATGATAATGTTATTGCTTTCGTATGTCGTTTTATGGATCTCACCGAGGTATGTGGACAGTAAAGGATTTTATTATTTATAAAAGAATTTGTTATAAATTATGCTCCATTGGTATTTTTGTATTTTCTACCCACCTTTACCTCCGTGGCGGTGAGATAGTGTGATGTTTTTACTGGGCTGGTGTAGCTCACTCCTTATTTAACCATTTCAAATCAAGAAGACATTGTTCCCGAGCTCGTTCCGCAGGAAGACGGCGAAGAGGACGCCTAAAGACTCCGTAGTTATATTTATAGTTTTTATTTTCGAGTTTCTCTTTTAGTTAGTTTGTTCTTTTATACTTTGAGCACGTTTTTTGTTTTAGTGTAAGGGATGTTAATCAAATTTTTATTACGCTTCCGCATTTGATATTTTTAATACACATATTTTATTTTAAATTTCCGGGGCCGTTACAGTTGGTATCAGAGCCGCGTTCCCCGGACCCATCCCTTACACTATAATACTTAGAGAAATATTCACCGATAAACTATTCCTTATGAAATGCAGGTGTAGAGAAATGAGGAGAGGAAGACCCCCACTAAACCGAGCGGCCAGGGATAATTCTCTTCGGGAGGATGTAGACAGGCTATTTGAGATGATGGAAGGATTCATAGCTGCCCAGCAAGGGCGAGAAGAGAGAAGGGAGTTACCCGAACCTCCCCCACTACCACGGGCTGAGCCACCGCTACAGCAAGCGGATCCCGAGCCACCCCGGCACGAGCTTGTTCCTCCACAGTACCACCCGGCACCACTACCGCAGTACAACCAGGTGCCCCAGCCACGGTACTACCCGACACCGCCATAGCACGACCCAGTGCCCCCAGCATATCAGCAGTTGCCACCACAGGACCCCCTAGTCTATCCCCAGCCGGGTCCAGTCCCTTCTCCACATGACCCCGCTCCTTCCTTGATCGACCCGGGCTACATAGAGAGGTACAGGAGACTGAACCCATCCACCTTTGCAGGAGGATCCTCTTTCGAAAAGGCCGAGTACTGGCTGGCGGAGACTGAGAGAGCTTTCAGGATCTTGGGAGTAGTCCCTGAGCAGAGAGCTGCCCTAGCTTCCTTCATGCTGGTAGGGAAAGCAGGACGTTGGTGGGAGCTCAAGCAGGCCACCCTGCCTACACCAGTCACTTGGGAGCAGTTCCTAACGGCCTTCCATACGGAGTATCTCCTTGAGGACATCCGACACCTAAAGGAAACGGAGTTTGTTCAACTAGTTCAGGAAAACATGACAGTATCAGAGTATGCTTGTAAGTTTCTCGAGCTGGGCCGATACTCCCCGGAGACATTGATGGATGAGGGCCGAAAGGCCAGGAGATTCCAGTCGGGTCTCCGCCCAGAGATCAGGCAACACTTGGTAGTATTGGAGCTCAAGACCTATTCAGCAGTCCTAGCAAAGGCGCAGATCGTGGAAAGAAGCTTTAGCACCCGTCCTCAGCCAGGAGGGGGTTCCCGACCCTCGGCTCCGTTCCGCAGGCCAGCACCTACGGCGCCTGCCCAACCAAACAAGAGGCTCAGACCAGCCATCGAGGCCCCTCCTCAGGCTCCAGGGGCAGCACGTGGGAAGATCTATCAACCCTGTGGCAGAGATCACGGGGACCGACCCTGCTACCGCCTCAACAACACTTGTCGCATTTGTGGCAGTGCCCAGCATTATGCTAGAGAATTCCCGAGGAACCAGAATCAAGGGAGGCCTCCTATCCAGGGTAGAGCTTACAACCTTAATAAGCAGGATGCCGAGGCCGACCCAGATGTGGTACAGGCCAAGCCCAAGAGGGAAATTTGTACTCAAGAGATTCCTGTAGTCCGAGACTTTCCAGATGTATTTCCGGACGAACTGCCCGGTCTGCCAGTGGACAGAGAAGTCGAGTTCACTATAGACTTACAGTCAGGTACCCAGCCCATTTCGTGTAGCAGCCCCGGTAATTCAAAAAATGGAAATTATATTATAAATGTTAAATGCGGAAGCGAGATCAAAATTTCAGTTAACATCCCTTACACGAAAACCAAAAACGTACTTAAAGTATAAAAGATTAAACTAACTAAGAGAGAAACTCGAAAATAAAACTATGAGTATGACTACAGAGTCTCTAGGCATCCCCTTCGTCGTCCTCCTGCGGAACGGGCTCGGGAACCATGTCTTCCTGATCTGAAATGGTTAAATAAGGAGTGAGCTACACTAACCCAGTAAGAACATCACGATATCTCACCGTCACGGAGGTAAAGGTGGGTAGAAAAACACAAAAGACCAATGGAGCATGATTTACAACAAATCCTTTTCATTTATGATAAAACCTTTACTA